TTTTTTTTTTGCGGTACGCGGGCCTCTCACTGTTGTGGCCTCTCCCGCTGTGGAGCATAGGCTCCAGACGCGCAGGCCAAGCAGCCATGGCTCATAGGCCCAGCCGCTCTGCGGCATGTGGGATCTTCCCGTACCGGGGCACGAACCCATGTCCCCTGCATCGGCAGGCGGATTCTCAACCACGGCGTCACCAGGGAAGCCCTAAATATACTTTTTTATTATGTGGGCTCTCATGCCAGAAAAAGCATTAGGCATGTCCTACTTCTCATCTCTAAGGTAAACATAATTGGTTTAATACAAGGAACATGGGCTTTGGAAACAAGAACACCATTAATTCCTCCAGGGGAAGGGCAGGGACCTACTAACCATCTTAGAGTTAAGCATTTTTTAAATTGAAGTATAGCTGATTTACAACATTGTATCAGTTTCAGGTATACAGCAAAGTGACTGAGTTTTACATACATATATATATATATATATATATATATATATATGTATATATATATATATATACATATATATATATACATACACATTTATATATATTTTATATATGTAATAGATATTCTTTTTCAGGAGGTAAGCATTATCGATGTAACAAAAGGGACATGGCTTTGGAGGCAAGAAGGCCTGGTTCATATCCTAGTTCCTATAGTTACTAGTTACAGTAAGCAGAAAAGAGGCTGCGGAGCCCATTTTTTTAGGGTTTGGTTTGGTTTGGTTTTTTGCAAAATATGACTTTAGAAACCCTGGAATGGAAATGGAAAACACACCAGAAATGCCTTCAGATCTATGGCCTTAAAGAGAGCTTGAGCAGAGCTCAAAAATTACCTAAGTTCAAACACAGATTCAGGGAAGTGATTAAGACATCTATGGGGCCCCTCGGCTTTTCCACAATTTTGTTTTTAAAGATTTATTTATTTATTTATTTTCGAGGTGCCAGGCCTTAGTTGCAGCACACGAGATCTTCGTTGTGGCACGTGGGTTCTTTTAGTTGCGGCATGCATGTGGGATCTAGTTCCCTGACCAGGAATTGAACCTGGGCCCCCTGAGCTGGGAGCGTAGAGTCTCATCCACTGGACCACCAGGGAAGTCCCTCCACAATTCTTGATTCCATCTAGTGTACTATTTGATTTTACTCTTTAAGCTTATTTCATAGTGAAAGAAAGAGTAACCAAAATCTATCTTTGTGACCCCAGGGCTTACAATAAATCAGGTGGCTATTAGGTGGTTATTACTTCAGGATGACTAAACCATCATTTTACTACTCTCTTGGTCCCTGAGATTTCTGGATTAATAATTTTAAAAGATAAATTTAAAACTTTTCTGTGTTTAGAATTGAAAATTTTCACTTACGCCTTTATGCCTCTTCTGCTCTCATGCCAATAATCCAGTGTTTCTCAAAGTATAGGTCTCAGATCACTTGCTTAACAATCATCTAATCTGCTAATTTAATGTTCAGGTTGTTGATGGTAGCAAGTTTTGTGATACCCTAAGCCCACAGGGATTTCCCAATTCTCTGATCAACAGGACTTAATTGTCCTGTATTGTTATTTACTTGTTTTATATACATTTCTTGAATTCCTAACTAGTTCCTTAGGGCCAGGGCAAGCCTGCTTTTTGCATTCTTACAGGGTATAGTACTGCATTATGCTGGCCCTCCCATTCCCTAAATAAATATATTTTTGTAAAATTGGTGTTTTCCCTGGAGTACTGTTCATCAACAAACTCACAAAACCTTATTTGAAAATGAAAATACTTACTTGCATCAACCATTGATTTATATTCCAAGAGTTGTTGTTTGGTCTGTGCTCTTACCCTGAAAACAGATAAAGAGAAGAAAGTTATATACTTATTGAGGTTTTACTCATTACTATATTATAAATCAACTCATCTTTTTGGCAAGTTGGTGCAACAAAATGAGTATAAATAAATAGCATTAAGGTCTTCCATTTTGGCCTATTTTATTTAAAACAGGCATAAAGAATTTAAGGCCTCAGAAAAATACTCAAAATGAAATACAGTAGGAAAACAGCATCTGTGAGGAAAAGTTTAAAATTTGATTTTTAAATTTATTCTTCTTCTTTTTTTTTTTTTTTTTTTTTTCCTTGCGTTATGCGGGCCTCTCACTGTCGTGGCCTCTCCCATTTGCGGAGCACAGGCTCCGGACGCGCAGGCTCAGTGGCCATGGCTCACGGGCCCAGCCGCTCCGCGGCATGTGGGATCTTCCCGAAATGGGGCACGAACCCGCGTCTCCTGCATCGGCAGGCGGACTCTCAAGCACTGCGCCACCAGGGAAGCCCATTTTTAAATTTATTCTTAATGGGCCACACTGAAATGAGGCTTAAAGAGAAGGGCTACACAAAGAAATAGATCAAAACGAGTCAGGTGGACCTTTGTGAGAGAATAGTGTTTGGTAGCCAGGACCTCTTTGGGGCATTTCTTCCTAAGTGGAAAACACAACAAATAAGGGAATAGGGGAAGGTAATACAGGGAAGCTATTCTTTCCAGGAGTCGATGAAGCCCATATATGCATTCAAGAAGGCCATGGGATATTCTAGCTGTGGACAGTGGCTAATAATATGGCCATCCAGAATTGACAATGGACTGCAGTAGCATTTTCCTGTATGGCTCCAAGAACTCTGGATAGGGAATGACCAGATCCAAAGACTCACAGATAGGACTTCCCTGGTGGTTCAGTGGTTAAGAATCCGCCTGCCAATGCAGGGGACACAGGTTCGAGCCCTGGTCCAGGAAGATCCCACAT